AAGCAAGAAAATCCAATTCTGACTAACTTAGTGGGGAAAGGAATTTATTGAAAGGATGGTTTGTACTATCCTTTGAATAGTTTATAACTAAAATTTGGGGAAATATTTTGTAATGAAAAATGATAATAAGAGTTTATTTTGAACAAACTTATGTTCACAAATTTGAAAATTTAGATTAAATGGATAATTCCTAGAAAAAATATAACTCTCCAAAATTGACATTAGGAAAGAACAAAATAGAATATAACTGTTTTTACAAATGCATGTATTATTAAACACTTGTATTATTAAACACTTTCTTATAAAAACCAACCAACCAACCAACCTCAGACCCAAATGGCTTCACTGGCAAGTTCCAGCAAATATTTAAGGAATATCTGGAAACCAAAGTCATCTGAAACAAAGCCTTCCAGAGAAGAAAAAGGAGATAGTAATCCACAACTCCTTCTGTGAGACGAGTATTACCTCGATATCAAAGACCACAAGGGATTCCACTTCCGGAAAGATGCGGTAGATGTGATAGGGACAGAGTAAAGGGACAAATTAGGTAATTAAGTAGTTAATCCCCCTAGGGGATTGTAAGTAAAGAAACAAGTATGGGAAACCCCTGTAAGTTAATGATCACTCAAGAAAGCAGGTTTGCTTAACCGCAAAACCAAGCAGGTCTGCTTAGCAACAAAACCATCCAACAGAAGCATCAGACATGCTCCCAAACAATAAAACAATGGTGGCATGAGAATCACATCCTGCCCAGTGAGCTCAGTAAGTTAATGACCCCTAGGACATGCTCTCTGCACACATAAAAAACAATAATTTATTGAAAGGTGATATTTCAAAGTGAAAGACTCTCATTGTACTGAAACCTAAAATAATTTTTCCATAGTGCCATGGCAGTCCTGGCTTGATGATGTAAGGAGAAGAAAACTCCCCTGCCCAACCTGGAGGAGGACTTGATGGTGGAAGCATGACATCTACTCAAGAATGAGGAAGATGGCCTTTTCCCTCTCCCTACTTTTCCTTTGATTATAAAACTGTAGCCCACTAAGTTCTCGGGGTGCGGCACCCTCGCACCCACCCACTTGTGAGCCTCACAAGTGTCCCTATTCTAATAAATCAGTTCTTATTTACTACTTTGCCTCTTGCTGAATTCCTTCTGCCCTGAGACTGGAGCTCCTTGGAGCGCCCCCCCCCAGAACGCCACCTAGTGGTATCAGACATACTTTTTTCCATTTCTTTCGGTAAGTACAGGTTAAAAGGCTAGACATGATAAATAAAACATACACAAGATGACTCTGAAAAACAGAGAGGAAGGCGGACAGGATAGGGACTTTGGATACGAGGAATGACACAGTTTAAGTAGCCTGGGTTTTCTTTCTACTTTATGTATCCTAGGTTTAAAAAAATTTTTTTTCTTACTCATTGTATCCTTGGCACCTAGTAAAGTAGCTGGCAGATAGGAGGTGCTTGATGAATGAATGAACGAATGAATGGTCACTAAGTAGTATATCTATTAAGCATTCAGGACCATTGAATTTACTATCAAAGGAAAAAACAAAGGCAGTCTCTGATCTCTTTGAATTTATTATATCTGACCTAAGCATCGGCCAATTTTAAAAGAACCATACAAAGTGAGGAGGGAAATTCTTCTGAAACTACAAACTATAAACACAAAATAAACTACCTTTTAGACATGAATAGTGATAATAAGAGAGTCATATCCCTTGCACAGAGTGAAAAAAAATTATTATGGTAAAAGCAGAATTTCAGGAAATCTGTGAATATGAAAAAGAATATTCCAAATCTAGGATTAAAATATAGATTATGAAAAAGAAACAAAGTATGAAAACTGCTTTGGCTAGATAATATATTTGGAGTACTGTTCGAACTAACCTGAAAATTGTAGTCTGCGGTTATAGACACCACAGAGAATGAAGGAAAAAGAAGCAGTAGAAGGGGAAAAAGCAAGATGTAGGGATATTCTTTTAATCATTTTATACTAGATATAAGCTAGTGTAAAGCACTCAATGCCTAGCATATACTAAGTGTCCAGAAATACTAGACAATCAAGAAATCCACACATCAATGGCACCTGCTAGCAGATCCACTTTGCTGTGTTCCCAGGGACACTGGTGGCAGTGTAGCCCATGTGAAAGGCACCCCTGGACATGTGCAGCCAATAGCCTGCGTAGCCAAACACTGCAGTCCTGCTCACGTAAGTGTTTACGTTTCCGAGGCATTATAGAACTGCAATCCATGATAGCCACAAAATATCCAAGTTGGTAGTGTTCACTTTCCAGGAAAAGCAAATAAATATATAAAGGAGAGCTTAAATGATTTTTCTATGAGTTAGCATCCCAAGGTTCATACCTGTAATGGATCCAGGATACTGTATAGGGGGGTGGGCGGGAGGTGCCTAAGGACTGTCTCAGACGCTGTATGGATTCTTTCTCTTACAAATTAGACTCAGATAAAGTATTCTGCAAATTGATGTGAAACGGCATTCCACTTGTAAATCCTTGTGTAAAGGATTACTGAGTGACTTGTTTAAATCCTTCAGTAAATAACAGTTTATGTTTAAACAACCTTCTGTGAAATAGCTTTCCTTGCAATTTCTATACATATTCATGAAGACACACTGTCAACACTGAAAGAAAGATAGCCACACAGAAAGAGAAAAAAATCCGATAACACTAAGACAATTTCCTTAATGTAATCAGGTAGTACAACTATATTCCTTGTTAATCTGAATTTAGTTCAAATAACTAAAGAGCTTTGTTCACTTTGTGATAGAACTAGACACTTACAAAATAAGTTTCTGAAAATTCACATAAACTTATTTTTGCAAGAATCATTTTAGTGCAGGAGGCTTTTTAAAAATGAATTGAATTGGCAGTAGATCAAGATGAAATACACTGGTTTATAAAAACAGGACTTCACCAAAGGTTTTACTAGGCTTCCATAAAAGCAGTATGAGGTGTCTGCTTAATAAATATGTGAATTTATTTTATTTTTTGCTTTACTTGGAAAACTTACCAACGTAATTTGCCAACACATGTTTTAAATGAGATCATTTAAAATCAGATCCTCTCATCTAATGTTTAAGACCATAGGAGGAGACAAAAGGGAAATACACTTTAATGTCAATTTGCCTGATTATTTTTTAATATGAAAATAAGACAGCTATGATAAGGCAGTGTTTCTCAAACTTACCTGATCATGAGACCTACTTGGGGGTGCTTGATTTAAAGTATGGATGACCAGGCCTCATCCTTAGAGGTTCTGACTTCTGAAGTTTGGGATGGGGTTCAGGAATGCATATTATTAAAAGCACCTGGATGAGCTTTACAATCAGGCCAATTAGGGACATACTTGGTGTCATGGAAAGAACACTGACCTAGTCTTAGGGTTCAAAACACCAAGGTTGCCAGGGCTTCTGCTTGTCCTTAACCGAGTCATTTTAACCTCACTGGGTCCAAATTTCCTCAGTTGTAAAAACAACAAACAAAACAACAACAACAAGACTGCTTTTAGTCTATAAACCCCATGAAGACCAGGACCAGCTGAGTTTTACTCACAGCTCCATCCCCGAGCCTGGCACAGAACACCCTCTTGGTTATTATTTATTGACAAATCACTAGTTAGACAACCTGTAAGATTCCTTTACAACTTTAAAATTATATGATTCTAAAATAAAAAAGTGAAGAAACAATTCACTTGGCCAATCATTTACAAAACAACAATTATTCTCAAAACAAAACATAATATAAACCAAAAAAGGCCCCTACTCCTTTGGATGGGTCTCAGGGCTGTGCACTCCTCGTGAGCACTTCAAAGGATCTGACTTGGGTGATTTGATTTCTTGCTCCCAGGGCTGTGGTGGTTAAAGGCAGTGAATTGGAAACATGTAGCACAAAGTTGAGTCTGGAAAGCTCAGTAAATTCTGTGAAAACAGTCAGTTCTCCTGCTGCACATACAGGAATAGTGCCGTCACAGCATGCCTTGCAGGATTTTTGCTACTTTAGTCCCGAAACATACTGTCAAGTAACAAGTCTAGAATTATCAGGAATCTTCCCCGGCATGCGGATTGTGCAGTAATAAGTGCTTTTGAAACTGATTAGGCAGGAAAAATAAACTCTGAAAACTAACATTTCAAGTCCCCACACCAGTGGCATCAACATCACCTGGGAAATAAAATTCTTGACCCCAGCCCCAGACCTAATCAGAAACTCTGTGGGTGGGGCAGAAAAATCTACCATACAACCAGTCTTCCAGGTGATTCTGATGTACACTGAAGGATGAGAACCACTGAGTTAGGGTAAACAGGACTCATAAAAACAAATTCAAAGAAGGCTGAGTGGAAGCTTCTATAAACCTCCTACAATGTATCAGAATTGAAAAAGACCACATCATGTATCCAGTCAACTAGGTATCCATGCACTCAATTAGCCAACACACAACAATGTGCTTTCATATAATAACTTAAGTTTCCTCCTTTTGAAAAAATATTCTGAAATACTGATCCTGAAATAAAAAACAACGTAAACCACTGGCTTTTAGGATATTCAAGTCCTAATGTTTCCATTTCATAAATAAAATACAAGTTTTTAATAAAAATATTGCCAAGTATTACATTTCATTTTAATATTATTAAAATATCAATAATAAAAAATGAGACTGTGGGTATGCAATAAAAAACTGAGACTTGGTATGCCAAGTCACAAGGTTTTGTTTTTTTCAAGCCAAATAACAATTCTGATTTAGAACTAGTGATGTGTAAGATTCTAAGGGTAACTAGCTATTATAAACGTATGATTCTATGTTCTATGTCAAGACAAGCTCCCAGCTTCTGAAGATCTTCAGGCTCCATTTCCTAAGATACCAGCAAACAGGAAAGGGATTTTTAATCTGAGAGCAAAGTATCGATGGAGGGGTCGGTGCTGATATCCATCTATGGGCACTCTCTTGGGTTACAAGGAGAGGAATTTGAGAGGTCACAGCAGGAAGGTTAGAGAAGGATGGCCCATTCCATACTGTTCTATGGCTTCGCAGAACATGAGTCCTAAGTACGTTTTTAAAAACATTTTCCCCCAGCCCAAAAATTCACCCAAGAGAAAGAGGTTGCCTTAAATGTAAAGAAGAAACCGATCAGACCACGAGGGCAGCTCCTAGTCGGGAACGTTGAAGGGCAGCGCGCTGATGACCTCCCCAGACTCAGTGACGATGGCATCGTAGACCCAGCGGCGGTTGCAGCGGCATTCAGGGCCACACTTGTTGGAGTTACACTTGGGGCAGGGGTAGAAGCAGCCCAGGCAGTTCTTTTCCAGGCAATCGCACAGGTCAGCATCATTGCAGATGAGCCGGCCGCTTTTGTCATACTTCTTCATAACTCTGCAAAGGAAAAGAATGACACTAACAGGACAGTGCAGTTTTCCTTAACATTGAGAATAGATTCTTGTATAGCAATCTTCCCAAGTAGGCTCCCTTTACTCTGAGGAAGCAGCACCCTAAAGATGGTCCAGCAACACTTCAGAATGCTATAAGGCAACATGTCCTGGGAAATTCAGTCAATATGCACCAATTACCAAGGCAGTCAGGGTTATCACCTAGAGTAAGGCTTCATTTTTTTTTCCAGCATGCTGGGGAATGTAATATCCCACCTAAGCAAATTTTGAGGAATAGCTGATTAAAGGCTATTAAAATTTCCTTCTACAAGTTTTTACTTAAAAATATAACCATGCTTGATGGAATTTCCCCTGATAAATTACATCAATTTTTCGTTTCTTAAGAAAAAGCACTATATACAGCTGAAACTAACACAACACTGTAAATCAACTATACTTCGATTAAAAACAAAAAGAGAGGAAACAAGCAGCACTACAGTGAGTACAGTCACATTTTGAATGACCCAAGAGAAGCATTGGGACTGTCCGTTACTATACCAACAACATTAAAAACAAAAACAAGCAAACTGAAAATTCCTCTGCTAACAGTCTCCTCATACCACTGCTTCTGTCCCTTTCTGATTCTGTTTTTTTTACCCAGTGTGGGGGGCAGAAGGTGTCATAAACTCTGAGTGACAGCAGGAAGTTCTGTACCAATGAGTACACCGTGCTTTGTGCCCCGACACTGCCCCTGTCGGCCTCTACAAGTCTGGGAAGCGCAAGGCTTTCCCCAGGATTCTGCCACCTTCTCAAAACCAAACCATCTTGAAATAAACCCTTCAGTACTGAGCTGCTTGAAACCCTGAGAACGACAAAAGTACCTGTGTAGAGCCTGTATCCATTAGGACCAGCTGAAGTCAGAAAAGGCTGTGAAGTCATGACCTTCTGCACCCTTGGCCCCCAAGCAGGCATACCACCTCCTTGCCTTCCTGTTAGGTAATGCTATTCCATCCCCTTCCCTCTCCCAATAAAGCGGGGAAGGTTAAGGATCATTATGCAGACTTGCCTGATTATCTCACTGTAGCAGGACAGCCTTTCCGATGAGGATTTACATTTGAAGCACTTCATCTGAAGCATGAGAGCTCCTACACCCACCAGGAAACGCAGGTGTCAACAGACAAGGAGGTGTGAAATCTATTATGGGAATATGGGGAGTCATGCAGCCAACAGAGAGCCTAGGTCAGACTCTGTCCTTCTCCCTGTGCCTTCACCCAAATACTCCCTGTCTTTACTCAGACATCAAGACACAAATCTTACAGTTTCCTGCCCATCTGATGCTATACTCTATATAGTTCTGAGCTATCATAGGTACATAAAGCGTACAAAACATACATGCAGAGATAAAGAATAAAACACACTTCCACGTATCCTAGCTTAATAAAGAGGTTTCGCGCCTTTGACAACCTCTTCACGCTCCATCCGTTGTATCCTTCCACTCGGCCCAAAGGAACCACACCTTGATATCATAAAAATCATCTCCTTGTTTTACTTTTCATTATGCCATATGTATATGTATCTCCAAGCGCACCACACTTTCCCTTCTGTAATTTGCTTTTTTAATTCGACATCATGATTTGAGATTCATCCATGGTGGCACATGTAGCTGTATTCAGATATTTTCACATCTATATGTATTCCACAGTACAAATATACTAGCTACTTAACTTTTCCATTATGGGTGGGCGTTTGGGTTATTTCTACTTTATTTTCTTTGCTATTGCAGGGATGCTATGAATTTCTTGAACATGTCTCCTACTGTACATGTATGAGTTTTTCCAGGATATACACCCAGGACTGAATATGTTAGGTCATAAGGTACGTAGGTAATGCCAAGCTGTTTTAAAACAGGGCTTCCCTGGCGCAGTGGTGGTTGAGCGTCCGCCTGCCGATGCAGGGGACACGGGTTCGTGCACCGGTCCGG